AACTTCAAGAATTGTTTACTATAAATATTCTATATTTATATATAGAATATATAAAAATAATAAACAAGTGTTTGCTTTAAGGAATTCTCTTACCAGAGGATTGTGAGGTCATGAATTGTAGAGGTCAACCTACTACTGCCATTTCACTAAATCAGTTGTGATGACTAACTGTATTGTAAACACTTATCCTTACACTCACAGGTAACCTAACTGCCATTCCTCATCAAAGGCACTTGAGTTAGACAGATACCATTACAGAAAACTACAGCTAGTGAAAAGGAAGTGAACAACTGGTCATGGGGTACCCAGCCCCAATGGTTACATCTATGACACAACTCCTGTACCTAAAGGAATTCCTGATGAGGGAACATCAAGAGAGAGGGGGTGGAAAGATTGCAAGAGCCATAGGTGCAGAAATTTTGTGAGACTGTGTCTCCTAGAAATGACAAGGAAGTTTCACTCATGATACCTTAACAATATGGCTGCCTAAGCATGATCATAGATATGCCATTGTGGGAGGGGGAAAGCTCACAGGCCCCACCCTAGACACAGAATACAGGTAACCAAAGATTGCTGAGAGAGAATTCATAATTTTAAATTAAAAATAAAGGGAAATTCATTAGAGTAGAGTGTTAGAGATGCTTTTAACATCAGCACTTGGGAAGCAGAGGGCAGTGGATCTCTGGGAGTTCAAGACCAACCTGGCCCAATCAGGCTATCAGGGTTATATAGTGAGACTGTCATTAAAAAATGGAAACACTAGAGGATATACATTCATCAACCAAAGAAAACCTCAAGTCCAACAAATCCCTAACACAAAATATCCAGGAAATATGGGACACCGTGAAAAGACCAAACCTAAGAATAATAGGTCTAGAAGAAGATAAAGAAACACTGCTCAAAGGTACAGAAAACATATTCAACAAAATCATAGAAGAAAACTTCCCCAACCTACAGAAAGATATGCCTATGAAAGTACAAGAAGCTTATAGGACACCAAACAGACTGGACCACAAAAAGAAG